TACTGTGCAGAGTCATCCAAAAACAAAACATGGAGGAGAAAATATTGCAATGCATCGCAATAATTCAAGTATCGTGATGCATCGTGATAGAATCGCATTGTGGCTTGTGAATCGTGATTTGAATTTAATCGTGACTTCTTTGGCAATACCCACCCCTACTCTGTACGGGACCCGGTGGGGTTAAGGCTAGAAAAGTCCTGCTGCCCCTTAAATATGGCGGCTTATTGCAGAAAAACGGTGGAAACCTTTTCCGTCCGAGGTGAGAGCGTGGTGACAGCCGTGAGTTTGGAAACATTGGTCTGGATCGGCCCGTTTCCACTAACAGGTCCCAAACCCGGATATTAGATGCTCAGCGGGGAGAAGCTCGCTCTGGGACCAGAGGTCGGCTCACTGGAATAAACAGAGCAGTAAAAGGTCCGACCTTCAAACATCAAACATCCTCCTAACGAGCGTAGCTGCTGCCGTTAGCTCTGGTGCTTTCTGCGGCGCGGGGAATCTTCATCCTGCGGCAGCTCAGGGATCTGCTCAGAGTGAGGTCACCCAGCCGCACCCTCTGCAGGGTCTGCAGCGGTGACACTGATCCCCGGGTCCAGCTGCAGCTTTGGAGCAGAGCGCAGTCAGGGAGAATCAATGATTACATTTAGTCTGGGACTAATCAGCTCCTCCTGTCAGGAAAATGTCATTCTGGTTGCTGGAGGGAAAATATCATCATCAGCAGGAGCAGCAGGAGCAGCAGGAGCAGCAGCGGGAGCAGAGCCTGCTGCAAACTCCTTAAATATATTAAGTCAGCTGCTGGACAACCTTTAGAACCCGTCTATATATATATATATATATATATATATATATATATTTGCCTGGTCAAGTAAGTTTTATCTCCCTTTGGTTCTCCAGCGGATCTTATCCTGGACCTGTTCTCCATCTCAGACTCATTGGGTTCTGCCACAGAAGGTCCGTTTCCAGGAGCTCCAGATGTTCTATAAGCAGAGGAGGGTTAGATAGACATCTGGTTGAACCATACTGATCAGACCTATCATATTAAGGCTTCCCTCAGTCCAGACAGCGCTGTGGGCGGGGCTTCCTGCAGACCTGTCACTAGCTGATAACCAGCCGGGCAGATTGAGGCGCGTTGATAAAAACTTGTTGCTCCTGTTGCCTCTGGGCTGAATTCAGCTGCAGGGAAGCGCTGATTGTAGAAATCTCTGATTGTAATTGGGATCGGTCCTGCTGCTTAATTGGAGCAGGAAAAAAAACCCGGTCTAATTACAGACGTTATGCTGCCGCAGCTCCTCGCGTCGAACCATGAAACCATGAATTATTGTCATTTTTTCGTTCTCTGCCGCAGATTGAATCTGACAGACTGAAAGCTTTTTTTTCATCTTAAAAGAACACTTCCTGCTCTCCATTAGGACAAAGTGAATTAGCGGAGAGGAGTCGGCCAATCAGCTGCAGCATTCACAGGAACCGGGACCATTATTGGCTAATGAGACGACAGGGAATTAAAGCTTTTATTCTAATAACAGTAACGTCTCCTGCACCTGCTTCCAAACACGCAGACGAACGGATCCGCTCCTTCCTGCTTCTGGATCATTATCACTGTTATAGCGCAGACGGCTGCACCTGTTTGTCTCTTTCAGCACCGAGCTGCAGAGGAACCGGATCTCAGCTGCATCTCACATGTAGAAAAGCCACAGGTGATTGTTCTGTGAAGATCCTCCAGGTTTCCTCCAGCTTTAAGGTTTCTCCTTCACAACAACAGAGACCTGGAGCTGAAGGAGGTTCTGCAGAGGATCTCGTTCCAGGAGATCAGAGTTGATGTGGAGAACCGTTCGGGATGCGAATGCTCGGTCGCATCAGAACCTAAACAGCTTTAAGGTTGATGAAAGTCCAAATGATCAGCGGTTCTGAAGGCTGTAGGAGGAGAACCCACATAGAAACAA